TTAAGTATATCATCGCGGATCAAATAAGCATGTCACAGTCAATTACGTAGCCCTCTGACGTGGAACTGCCATATGGGTCCCTAATCTACCAAAGTACTATGATCCCAAATCCTCTTAAGGCACCCACGTTATAGATAAATTGTTTTTTAACTATAAAAGTTCATACGTACTGGTTTACACTAATATATATGTTTAATTAACCCATGCTCCCTTTTAGGAGACATGAGCATGCATGCTATTATTTAATACCTAAAACTAATAAAAATTACTTATAAATTTACACTACTTTTTCTAAATTCATTTTCTAACAAATGTTCTGCAGCACTACTTCAGCACTATTTTTCAGCGAATGAACAGTGTTTTCCTTTTATAACAAATCAGTCTCTAATTGTGATAGATTTACCAATTGTTGTCTATATTCTTTTTCATCAATATCCATATGCTACCCATAGTTTCTTTTTTCTTTGTATGGCACATTTGTGTATCTTCAATATGCATTATTTGAAACTTTAGCTTAAATTATGGGTGGCCTTTGTGGCATTCATGTCTCATGGCGTTATGAATCTAGTTTTTGATTTTTAAATTTTAATCTTGTTAGTTGCTACATATGTTTTATTCTTAAGTTAAGCTGAAACTCTTGATCTAATTCTGAATCTAGCTTTTTATTTTTCAAATTTTAATTTTATTAGTTACTGATCTAATTGCATCGATCTTTTCCATGTAAAAAACGAGTGAGAAATTGAGCTGCCACACCTCAATTTCTAGACACAACAACCTCGTTGTTGTAGGGCGATGGGCTCGCCTCCATACGACTTTGCATTTCCTCTCTGTTGAAGTGTTGTCAACCTCACTGTTTTCTAGATGACATGTTGAAGTGTGCAGGCAAGACAGAGAGAGCCACTGCACGGCGGCCACACAATTAGAAGACCGAGAACCAGTAAGGCTGCGTTCGGTTATTCCGGATTTGGTCCGGGAACTATTTCAGTCCGTCAAAAGTATACAAATTACTGAACCAATTCCACCTGAAATCGTTCCGATCACCCAATCCATGACAAAAGTATACAAATTACTGAACCAATTCCACCTTGAAAATGTTGAAGTGTGCAGGCAAGACAGAGAGAGTGAGCTTGAGCCGGCCATGAAGTTTAAATAGAAGCCCGCGAAATAGAGCCGTTGTACCCCTTCACTCGGCACAACGCGAGGTGACCGGACGCTCCGGTCCGATCAACCGGACACTGGCCCCTCAGCGTCGGTCATATGATTTACGCCACATGCCCCCGCTTCAAATATTGTTCGTTAGATTTCAACGGTCGTCTATTGACCGGACACAGTGCACAAACTGACCGGACGCTCAGCCTCCAGCGTCCGGTCGTTTCCAGCAAGATTCTAGAAACGAATTTCTTCGACCGGACGCGTGCGATCATGCTTGACTGGACACATTCAGCGTCCGGTTAGTTACCCTGACCACTGTGCTGCCACGTCAGCAGGGACCGGACGCAGCCTTTCAGCGTCCGGTCAGTCCGAGACCCAGCGTCCGGCCGTTTGACCGAAGCTGACGTCTACGCTGCCACATTTGACCGGACACGCCGGTCCTTCGAGAGACCAGCGTCCGGTCACCTTATGACCAGCGTGACTAACTCCTTTTCACCTCTAACTTATTCACCATTACTCAATTGTGCCAACCACCAAGTATATCACCTTGTGCACATGTGTTAGCATATTTTCATAAACATTTTCAAGGGTGCTAGCACTCAACTAGATCCTAAATGCATATGCAATGAGTTGGAGCATCTAGTGGCACTTTGATAACCGTATTCCGATACGAGTTTCACTCCTCTTAATAGTACGGCTATCAAACCTAAATGTGATCACACTCTCCAAGTGTCTTGATCACCCAAAACAAAATAGCTTCTATAATTTATACCTTTGTCTTGAGTATTTTGTTTTTCTCTTTCTTCTTTTCAATTCCAAGCACTTGATCATCACCATGGCATCGCCATCTTCATGTCATGATCTTCATTTGCTTCACCACTTGAAATGTGCTACCTATCTCATGATCACTTGATAAACTAGGTTAACACTTAGGGTTTCATATTCACCAAAACCAAACTAGAGCTTTCATCACCCAAATGAAGCAGAAGTGGCTGAGATTTACAAGGATCAAGAGGTTAGAAGGCATGTTGTCTACCTACCACAACATGTCTGCACATGTAGAGAGTGGCAGCTTACTAGAAAGCCTTGCTCACATGCACTGGCTGTCATCACAACCCTAAGGCAACCCAATATGGATCAGTATGTGGACAAGTACTACTCAGTTGAGAAGCTCCAGGCTGCATACCGTGGGATCATTCCTAACATAACAGATAGAGGACAATGGCCAAAGGTGGACAAAGGGCTTCAAATTGTTCCCACCAGTTACAAAGAAGACTAGACCACCAGGAAGACAAAAGAAGAAAAGGCATCTTGCTCTAGGTGAGAGAAGTGGTAAAGCAACAAGACAAGTGAAATACCCTAATTGTGGTGAGTATGGCCATAGGAGTGGAAGTTGGAGGTGTCATCTGACTGGCACAAAGAAAAGATAATTTGCACACTAACTGATTTCTATTATTGTTGCCTTCAAACCATGATACCTAACACTAGCATTATAAAAAAAGAACCAAGAAGTCAACACCTAGACCTGGGAGGAAGAAGAACAAGACAGACCATACACCAAGTGGAGCAAACACACCTAGGACAAGGGCAGCAGTGGCTAGAGAAGCAGCAGCTAGGGCAGCAAAGGAGGCCCAAGAAGCTGCAGCCAAGGCATCTGCAGCAGCAGGAGCTACAGCTGCTGCTGAGAGGGATGTCCTAGATGTGCCACCACTTGAGGTTGAGCCTCCACCGCCATCACCACCCTCTACAAGCACTAGGAGGTATGCCATACTTAAACAACATTACAACTTGTGTAATTGAGGCCATTCTAATATAATTTCTTCACAATAGGAACCTATGTCGTGAACTCCAAGTTGTGAGTGAGCTAGATGAAACTACAACAGTAACTATTGACCCACCTCCTAAGAAGTTCACTCCAAGAAAGAAGCAGCTAGCAACCAAGACCAAGAAGAGTCCAGCCAAGAAGGGGAAGAAGTGAGTGAATGGAGTGGAAAACAGCAGGGAGGACATTCATTTTGGTTGTAAAAGGCCCTCAAAATGACTTCTTTTGTGTAATTGAGGCCTTGCCTTGGCCAGACATGCTTATGTAAATGGCAAGAACTATGTAAGTGGCCTGAACTATTGTATGTGGCCAAAACTTGTGGCAACTCCTCTGAACAACAACTCTGTTTGATGTGGCTTGAATGTAGCAGTGCTGGTTGGTTTATGGTTAATGTGTTCCATCTGTTATGTGTGATCTGTTATGTTGAATCTGTCATGGTTAACATGTGGCTGATCTGTCTTGTGTTTGTTGTTAACATGTATAACTGTTTCGGTTGATATGTCTTGTGTTTGTTATCGAGTTAGACACTGCCAAAAGACACATTGAAACACAATTTACACATTGTCACATTGAAACATAATTTTCATTTCCATACATTGTCACATTGAAACAGAACTTTTATTTTCCATACATTGTCACTTCATTGCAACATACATCACAACAGATCCAAAAACAACAGATATAACACACACAATGAACATGTTCATCTTCCAAATCAATGTCTTCATCTTGTGTTCCAGGTCTTTCATATTGTTGTTGGGACCATTTGGACTGTCAACTAAAACATCTTCATGATCCACCAACTCTGCCCAGTTGGAGGGGCGAACCTGGATGATGCCCCTCTCCTTCAGCTGCTCGAAGTACGGCTTCTCAAATCTATAGTACCAACACAGTTTGGGAAACTTCAAAAAAACCCAAAGTTAGAACCCTAACTGTGACAATGGGGATGGGTAGTACACAGAACTCACCCTGTTCCTCGCACACTTGAAGTATAGACGCCCGTGGTTATCACCATCCTTCTTGGTTCGCCCCTCCACCACCCGAGTAAGGCCGTAGTCCGGACAAGGGATCAATGGAAAGCCGCTCAACTCACCTATTGGATCCACACAGACGGAGGCGATGTGGGAGCTCCAGGCACCTTGGACCCGACTCCTCGCCCTTGCAGATGACTCGGCGTAATGGGACAGGGACATGTCTCGCGGTGAGGGGGGGGGCGTTGTGCGCGGTGGCGGCGGCGACTGGCGGGCATCGCGCGCGGACCAGAGAAAGGAGAAAGGGGAGCGGATGGGAGAGAGTGGAGTGGGCCGCAGGGTAATACAGACGCCAGGTAGGGACGATCATTTTACATTGGCCTACTAACTCGGATCCGAGAAGAACAACGGACCTAGCGTGCCACGCGAGCAAAAATGATAAATGTGTATCATTTTTCTCTCTCCGATGCTAAAAATATAACGTCAAATCTAAAGATGCTATCTCATTGAGTGGCCATCAGTAATAATGATAAAAAGTTAAATATCCCGTCGTTTTCCCGAAGGACACGAAAAGCAGAACGTCTCCGCTCCGAGGACGACACCCGCTCACGAGCAACCGGTGAATCATGCAGGCAGCCAGCCGCCGCAGAATCTTCCCCACGTCACGCTGCCACTGAAAGCGCTTCGACCTCGTCCGTCCGTCCGCTCGGCGCTCGCTGTCGCTGCAACCCCGCTGAGCTCCCCGTGCACGTACGCCCACCCGTTCCGTTTTCTGTGGCTGGCAGCCTGGCGCCACCCCGCCTGTCCACTTCCTCGACTCGGCGAGGCGAGGAGAGTCCCCGGATCCGTTTTTGTTGTGTGCTTCTCCTCAAATCAAACAAACCAAAAACCCCTCCTCGCCTCCCATCACTTCCTACGCCACCCGGGAAGCGCGCCAAGGCGGCACCGCACACCGTGGTAGTACAAGACACGGGACGCGCGCCCCCGCAGCCTCGCTCCCCTCACTTTCTCCGCGCCATCCACGGCCCCCCGCCCTCCTGCTCTCCCTCTCGGCAATGGCGACGCCCTCGGCCGTGGGCGCCGCGTGCCTCGTCCTCGCGCGGGCCGCCGGGCCGGGCCGCGGCGATCGGGCGCGCCCGCGGCGGCTCCAGCGCGTGGTGCGCCGGCGGTGCGTCGCGGAGCTGAGCAGGGAGGGCCCCGCGCCGCGCCCGCTGCCACCCGCGCTGCTGGCGCCCCGCTCGTGCCCGGCATCCTCGCGCCGCCGCCCGAGCCCACGGGTGAGCCGGCGTCGACGCAGCCACCAGTGCCCGACGCCGGCCTGGGGGACCTCGGCCTCGAACCTGAAGGTAACTGCCTCAGCCAACTCCTGGGTCCTGCTGGTTTTCAATTAGTTGCTGATCGGTTCATTCAGCTCGAAATGCGTTTGACAAGTTGGGTAAACTTTTGAAGGGTTAATGTGTGTTGAATCGATCCCTGTTAGCATTAATCGGGCACACATGATCACTAATACCGTGTAAAATAATCGAGACCCGCATTTGGGCACACCCGTGGCAATTTTGAGATGTCTGTATTGGATCATGAGCCGCTGGGGTTCAGGGTGGCGTGTACGGTGTACCTCGGCATGATGGCAGTGCACCGTAGAGGTTTCGGGAGGTGTGCACGTGGTTGGATCTGAGCAGACATACTAGTTGCAGTAGCATAGGCTGTATAGATATTTTGTAGGAAGAGGAATGGGGCTAACTCAACTCTCACTCATTCAGGTGACACATATGTCCTCGGAAGTAGGGGAAAATTGACTAGTTTGTCTCTTCCTTGCCTTGTGGTGTGATTGTAACTCGCGTTGCAAGTAGTAGTGCTCCACGGAATATCCTATTAGAAAGTTGGGGTATCATATCAGTCCGTGTGGTAAGCTGACTTTAGTACTTTACTGAAGTAACACTAAAAGTAATCACCTAGCTCATTTTGTGAGACCGAAGTGGAATGCTCCAGTTTTCCAGCCTGTTCGCTCGTTGGTTTTAGTCAAGTTTATCAGCTATGGTACAATGTTTTTCTCTCACAATAAATCAGCCGTACAAACCAGCACAAGCGGCTTATCGAACCAGCGAACAGGCTGTTTGTCAGTGATGGAAACGAGATGGAGCTTTTTTTTATGGAGGAAAAACCTGCTTTTATAAAAAAGCATATAAGTGGACGAAATGGAGCTTTCAGTGCGTATATTAATTATCAGAATATTCCCTGTCTCATTTTCTTGTGAAGGGCCATATGCACCTTGTCACTGTCAGTCCCATGGTACCGTCTTGTGCTTTGCCGTTCACTGGACTACAGTTCCAGTTTTGTACAAATCTATTCTTTTGGCTACTTGTGGGATATTTATTGATGTTCTGTCGGTCCACCTTTCTCTCATCTTTGGACCACAGCTCTACTTTGTTTTATTTGTCTCTGACCATACATTCGAATTGTTTAGGAAACTAGTCAGCATGGGGCAACCTGAATTTGTCATTTAGCTGAGAACAGAATGTTGGTTGCACCATTCTTATCGCTGCTAGAATTGTTTTCCGTGATGAAGTTAGAATTCTATCTTCTGTTACTCTGACCTTGACATATTTTTTAATCCTTCATTTCACATCCAGGGATTGCTGAGGGTTCCATCGACGACACAGTAGTTGTGGCAAGTGAGCAAGATTCTGAGATCGTGGTCGGAAAGGAGCAAGCTCGAGCTAAAGTAACACAAAGCATTGTCTTTGTAACTGGCGAAGCTTCTCCTTATGCAAAGTCTGGGGGTCTAGGAGATGTTTGTGGTTCATTGCCAGTTGCTCTTGCTGCTCGTGGTCACCGTGTGATGGTTGTAATGCCCAGATATTTAAATGGTACCTCTGATAAGAATTACGCAAATGCATTTTACACAGAAAAGCACATTCGGATTTCATGCTTTGGTGGTGAACATGAAGTTACCTTTTTCCATGAGTACAGAGATTCAGTTGACTGGGTAGGTATCCAATCACCTTATTGTTTCTGATCAAATTAATAACTGCCTACCATTTAGTCCTATGTGCTTCTTGACATGTACACGTTCTGATGTTACTTCTGTATTTCCATGTTGTTTGCCCGGTAGTCTTTAGCATCCAAACAGCATATAGTATTTTCCAGATTAAAATGAAGAGATATATTTGATATGATGTATTGATGAAAGTAGCACACTTGTGTCTATGGTGCTAAAGTCTTATGCATCTATGGTTGCACATTTGTATTTGCAACAATGGTTGTGAGTGAAGATGACACTAGATGATAAAACAAACAATCATATGTACAAGGTATCAGAAAACTTAAGCTCGTGTTGCATTGGCAGATCATGTTCATTGATTTCTGCTGTTTCTAGGAGTGTCTATTTGATATATGTAATGTTTTTTTTTTGTCTTATATAACTGGTGATTGCAGAATTCTTATTTGTTGTTCTTTTTTTTATTTATCTTTTGGTTTTATGTCAACTGTTTAGGTGTTTGTTGATCATCCCTCATATCACAGACCTGGAAATTTATATGGAGACAAGTTTGGTGCTTTTGGTGATAATCAGGTAAGAAGCTTGTTATGTTAAAGCTCCTATTTGATCAGTTTAAGTTCTGTCAAAAAATTGATTTGAGTGCTATATATCTTTGCAGTTCAGATACACGCTCCTTTGCTATGCTGCATGTGAGGCTCCTTTGGTCCTTGAATTGGGAGGATATATTTATGGACAGAATTGCATGTTTGTTGTGAATGATTGGCATGCCAGTCTAGTGCCAGTGTATGTTGTGGATCTACTCATCTGAATCCTACATGCCTACACCTTTATTTTGCAGTGCATGCCACATTACTTTAACATTCTTTGATTCTTTTTTCATGTATGTTCAACTTCATCTGCGTATATATTTATGAAAGCCGAGAAAACATTACTGTTGGCAGTTCCAAGGAGCTTATCAGTTCTTTAACACTTAGACAACTTATTCTGGTGATTCTAGTTCTTAGTAGTTAGTCCATCAGCTGCATACTCTGAACCATCATTTTATTCCAAAACAGAAACGCATGTTGTCGCATTGAAGCATTGCATATGAGTACTGTGAAATGACAATCATTTAGTTTCTAGAGACTGATTTATGTGGTAAACAATAAAACCTTGTCCTTTATGTTGGCCTGATAAAGACTGGACAGCACCAAGCATAGGCAATGAACAGAAGAGTTCAGTTGTAGTCTTGCATCACATTATTGCCATGCAACAAGCTGGAATACCTTTGAGCTTCCTTATGATGCTTCATCTTGTGCATGTCTTGGATCCTGAAAACTATCCTTATTCGTACCTGTCAAGTATATAGTACATAGCTCTAGTCTGGCCCATAAGGCCCATGGCCCAGGTGCCTATTGTATACATATGTATGTGTATGTAAAGACTGGAGATGAGACACAAGACATATACTTGACAGTACCCAGTGTTGCTGGACTAGCTTTGCCAAATACATACCTGTATTTCTGTATCTCAAACAGCAGTTTGTAGTTCAGATATGTTATTTGAGTTTTCTTTTAACTTGATTTCACCACTCCAAGAATGTTCCTTGGTATTACTACAGATGATATTTCCCATGTTCTGGGTATTGGCATGGTTTTACTTCTAACCTTTTATCTGTTATAGATGTAAGGATACTTGTTTTCGCACAACAATTGCTGTTATGGACTCAGTCTGTTTGCAATGCAATCTTGTGTTATTTCTTTCATAATGTATGTTCTTTGAAGAAATCAACATTGTGATTACTGTATATCTTCTTCTGTGAAAATTACTGTATATCTTCATTCTCTTCCCTGTTTTACTGCTTTAAAAAAAGTTAAGTAGCTGTACTATGCTGCTTTAATAGTGGTATGGTCCTGCATCAGTGGTCTGTTCTTAGATTTGACGTCCCTTGCTGGCATGGTCTTTGTGGCTGTGCATGTTGTGCTTGTACTTATGTTTTGACGTTAGTACATAAGTGTGATGATCAAGCGGCATGATGCAGGTGTCTTATGAGTTGGGACACATTAGTGCAATTAGTGGTTAATGGACTAATGAGCTTCATCTTATTGTTTGTCATGAATATGATTTAGCTGTTCAGATAATACTTCTTTCGTTTGATGTGTTTCACATGGTTTGCTGCTCGCTGTCAGTCAGCTGTTTCACTTTGAATTGAAGTGCAATTTTAGACATGTACTCTTTATTTCCTGATGTTTTCCCTTTTATTGTTTCCTTCCTTTGGTTTCACAATGCTAAATTAGTTTCCATTATGTAATCTGTTTCATCCTAACCTTGATTTTGTTTGTTTCAGCCTTCTTGCTGCAAAATATAGACCATATGGTGTTTATAAAGACTCACGCAGCATTCTTGTAATACATAATTTAGCACATCAGGTTTGAGCTTATCATTTTGTGTTGTCTATACATAACTTGGCAGCACAGCACAGTTTACTCAAACCATATGTTATCTCATTGTGGTAGGGTGTAGAGCCTGCAAGCACATATCCTGACCTTGGGTTGCCACCTGAATGGTATGGAGCTCTGGAGTGGGTATTCCCTGAATGGGCAAGGAGGCATGCCCTTGACAAGGGCGAGGCAGTTAATTTTTTGAAAGGTGCAGTTGTGACAGCAGATCGAATCGTGACTGTCAGTAAGGTGATATTACATATCTCATTTTTCTTTGATCTGTTAAAAGCTATTCTCCCTTCAATTTAGGTGTTGCTTGTCTTCACTCTTCATTTTATGTTTAATTTCTAGGGTTATTCATGGGAGGTCACAACTGCTGAAGGTGGACAGGGCCTCAATGAGCTCTTAAGCTCCAGAAAGAGTGTATTAAACGGTAGCCATATTCATTTTAATTTGTTCTGTTCTTCAACTACTTCATAAAAACAACAAAGTCGGATGATAAAAGTTAATTCAATATGCCTCTATACTGCAGGAATTGTAAATGGAATTGACATTAATGATTGGAACCCTGCCACGGACAAATGTATCCCTTGTCATTATTCTGTTGATGACCTCTCTGGAAAAGTGCGCTGACAGTTCTCTAAAGCATCTGTATATCCATTAGGATGATTGCCTCCTATGTTTATTCTTTGTTTCTCATTTCTTCCACTTATCCTTTTTATCTGATATTGTTGGTTTAGGCCAAATGTAAAAGTGCATTGCAGAAGGAGCTGGGTTTACCTATAAGGCCTGAAGTTCCTCTGGTTAGATATTGATGCTTTAGACATGAATTTTTTATTTTAAAGAAATAGTATGGATCAGTTTATTAACTTGATTTACAGATTGGCTTTATTGGAAGATTGGACTATCAGAAAGGCATTGATCTCATTCAACTTATCATACCACATCTCATGCGGGACGACGTTCAATTTGTAAGTCCTGATTTTTCTCCATTATTGTAAGCTGGAAAGTGAGTTAAAACCATCATGTGGGGGAAAAGGTTCAGGATAACTGTTGAACTGGTGAGGTGCACCAGCAGCTGTGAAGACAGGTTTCTTATCTTTAGGGATCAACTAGGATTCTGAGCTGTGTTAGCTACTGAGCAACATGTTAAGGTTCAGAAGAGGGTATGTACTTTCAGTCCAGGTTGACTTAGTTACCACTTAGCAGCCTTCTTTGGCAACACCTCTAACTCAAAGTAGGGTCAGAAAGCTAGTACTGGGTAGACCAATATATCAAAATACTTTTCCCATCTATGCACTTTTCTCATCTCAGCTTGGTTGCCATGCACGTCCCAGATGTAACCCTGCTTGTGACACATCCTGCCTCTACCAAGGCTTGGCAAAGCGTGCAAATATATTGGGGATAGTATAGTACAGCACATCAGATTTGGTAGTAGGACAGTTATTACAGATACAAGATGTGGTTGTTACTTTCAAGTTTCAACTTGGACGAGTTACAGGTGTTTTTTTTTGTGATCTAGTTACAGGTGGAATTAAATTAGTATTTGAGGTGCAAATCTATCACTCTTTAACATGTGTCTGCAAGTTTTAAGAGGATTTCTTAACTTTCCTAATGTCCTTAGACTAAATCGCTTTCTCCAGTTCCAGCCCTTCTCATTTTGAAAAACTCGAAGCTCATTAGCTCACTCGGCTCGTGGCTGGCTGAGCTCGGCTCGGCTCGTTATGATAACGAGCCGAGCCGAGCCAAGATTTTAGCTCGTTAGCTATAACGAGCCAACTCGAGCCAGCTCGCGAGACGCTCGCGAGCTAAACGAGCCAAGCTTCCAGGAAAAAAAGTATCAAAACTTATATTAGTTTTTGTATTACTTCATGTCTTGCGCTTTACAATTGACTGGTAACTGGTCTAGACCCTATAAATTGACTGGTTAAATGCATTTCTTTTATATTATTATTATTCTCAAACTTTAGATAAATGCAAATATTATATTTTGTGTATTTTTTATACCTGGCTCGCGAGCTTAACGAGCCAGCTCGAGCTTTTAACAAGCCGAGCTGAGCTGGCTTTCTGGCTCATTAGGATAACGAGCCGAGCCGAGCTAGCTCGTTATCTTAACGAGCCAGAACGAGCCGAGCCGAGCCAGCTCGTTATCCAGCCTTAGTGGCATGCAAGCCAGGGCTGATTTGGACCCGTTTGGACCTGTCTGAAAACCATGACAAAAGTTTGAGGTGCCGAATATGCAATTTGAGACTCTGTGGACAAAGACGAGAACACAGGAGAAGTTTATGGACCGTTGCTGGAATTTGCTCTTTTATATCAATTTATTTACTAATGGTGCTAATATTTAGTACTTTGCTTAAGAAACTTGTATGAAAAAGAGGCACCGTGGTTCCCTTTGGCCTCCAACATTCTCCTTCCTGGAATGTTGAATAACATCTTGCATTCTTGGATGTGCACACACCACTCAAAATGCAGATTCTATTTTAAACATTAGCTCACTGGTAGATGTGAGTTGGAGAACTTGAGCCATGCCTTATCCTTCTCACAAGTATTTGCTTTTCACTTCCAACTGAAGGCTGATGAACGGCATGGGTCGGACTTTGGAGTGGATTTAGAAGTTGAGTTGTCCTTTTGAAGCCTACAACTAGAGTGTTTTGACCTACTTTTCTTCTTATTTAATGTAGGTCATGCTTGGATCTGGTGACCCAGAGCTCGAAGACTGGATGAGATCTACAGAGTCGAACTTCAAGGATAAATTTCGTGGATGGGTTGGATTTAGTGTTCCAGTTTCCCACCGAATAACTGCCGGGTATGCAACAGCATGTTGTTAAGAACTCACTTGACATCTTATAAGTACATTTTATACTTGGGATATTGATCTCTCCTTTTTTGTGCAGCTGCGATATATTGTTAATGCCATCCAGATTCGAACCTTGTGGTCTGAATCAGCTATATGCTATGCAGTATGGCACAGTTCCTGTTGTCCATGCAACTGGGGGGCTTAGAGTAAGACAGCCATCCTATAATACTGACTTGTTATATTAGTACCAAGGTAGAATGTTTTTTCACCTATTTTGTTCATTGAACAGGATACTGTGGAGAATTTCAACCCTTTCGGTGAGAATGGAGAACAGGGTACGGGGTAAGTACAGCTTCATTTAAACATTTGCAGTTCCTTCTCTCTCTCTCTTTTTTGTTTTTCAGCTGGATTCTGGAATCAATTGAATGCTTACAATGATTGCAGTAGTTTGCTCCATTCATCAGTGAGCTCCTGATCAAATTTTTACTGCATACATATTTGCAGGTGGGCATTTGCACCCCTAACCACGGAAAACATGTTGTGGGTAAGTTTCCATCAAACTTGAATTCTGTTAGGAACTTATGATCTTGATCATAGTATGTGATTACAATGACCCTTATAATTTATGGATGAAACATTGCCGAACTCACTTTGTGCTAACAAACCGTCTAGCCAATTCTAATAACAAAGCATGCACTTGGTTTTATGGGGAAATGAGTTTTATTGTGATCTTGTGTTGGTATATGGGAACTTTATTAAAAAAGAAAAATAATCTAGAAAGAACTCCTCTAGCTTCTGGCCTTCATCACAAACTAAACTTTTGGCAGTAGCAGATTGTAGGAGCTGGGCTCCTGGGGGAGTTTTGGCCTTTGGAGCTTGTGGGAGCAGTAAAAGCTGCTATAAGCTCCACTTTACGAGGCCTAGGTGGTGTTGTAAATAATAATAAATAGGCAACCAAATTTGAAGTCGAGGAGGACTTAAAACCTGGGTGATGGGTTTATACCTGGCTACCCGCACCTCCCATCAACTGATCTATGGCAAGTTGGAATTAGTGGGAAATCGAAGCCTGAAGCATACATGGAAAATTCACCCCTGGACTTGTGTCAGGTGCAGGATGTGAATTTACATGTCCGGTATGTGCTTATGATGTGAAAATAGAGCTATATTCTTGTTTTCTTTTTGTTTAATTTCTTAGCACAAGTGCCCCCTGTCCTAAACGTCATATATTTTTAAAATGAACTATTAATTAGTTCTGCTTTTACCTTGGCCAATATGTTATTGAACCAAGCCTGGAAATTATTCCCTCTGGTCTGGAGCTGTCATTTCCGACAACAAAAGTGAACTGCAACTAGTGTACCTCTGTCCAGGATTGATAAGAGTTTTTTGATAAGAGAAAAGTCAGATTTTACAAATTTTGACCAACAATTAGTCAAATTATATGCAAGTTTAGGGCATAAAACTTGCATAAGTAGATTTGTATTCAAAAGTGCATCTAAGATAATATTGACTTCTCTCTGGTCAAAGTACTCCTAACATTCATGGACGGGGGGAGTATATGCTGTCTGAAACGCCAGGTTCTCCTGACCTGAGGGAGTATCAGTTACAGAAGCTGAAAGTTTCTTATGAAACAATGGAGGAGTAGTATAGGGAGTTTATGCACGGATGGTTTCAGGATCAGTTCGTTTACTGTTTACCAGATTGCCGTGATATTTTTTACCCAGCAACAGTAAGAACTGAACCACTATTCATTATGGGGGCAGAACATTTCATAATTGGATTTTGATCCTTGTTTTGCAGACATTGCGAACTGCAATTTCGACATACAGGGAACACAAGTCTTCCTGGGAAGGGCTCATGAAGCGAGGCATGTCAAAAGACTTTACGTGGGACCATGCCGCTGAACAATACGAACAAATCTTCCAGTGGGCCTTCATCGATCGACCCTATGTCATGTAAAAAGGGGATCACAAGTGGTGTCCTTAAAGATCTTCAGTTCTTCATCCTACAGTAAGCTGAAGGATGAGAAACCCCTGTACATTACATGGAAGGCAGACCAGCTGTTGGCTCCATCGCTCCAATGTCCAGGTGGCTGGTTTGTCTCAAAGGACCGTGATGCAGTGACAGTGAGGAGACCAGTTCAACGACAGTTTTGAAGAATAAGGGGATGCTGGAAGCAGTCGCGCAGGCAGCCTCGCAGCCATACATATGGAACAAACTGGAGTCAGTTTCTGCTATGCCACTCACTGTTTACCTTAAGATTATTACCCTTGTTGTTGTCCTTTGCTTCTTAGGGCTGATAACTTAATGATTCATTAGAAAACCATGCCTCGTTTTTCTTGACCAAAGTGGCCACTTCTGTGCATTCTCGGCCGTTTACTAGAGACGAGCATTGCTGATGGTGCATCTTCAGTGTCAAGGGTGTCTATATATCGAAAGCGTAGCTATGATGGTATTGAGGAATCCTGTAAAGCGCATGGTGTTGGACTGTTGTGTATGCCTTGTGTCCCAGCACGGGTTTCCATGTTTCAGGTACTTTATACTTGTCGTGACCACGTCCCGTCCGCTTGGTCAGTAATACCTTCGGAGCAAGGGAATGGTCTACGGTTCTACGCGACCCGAGCATGAGTGCATGAGCCTTCAGTGCGCGATGCCTAGAGGGGTGTAATCTGTGGGGAAGCTTGCGGGGGCCTCCATTCCGGACCGGCACATCAGCTTGGGATCGATCCCTGATCGTCGTGTTGTCCAACCTGGATTCCTTAACAGCCAGTTATCAAATCGGCTAGATTTATTTTGGGTTAATTAAATGTTTAATTTACCTAAAGGTGGTAATGAAGAAACGCACGCAGAGCCAATGAAGAAATAGTTCATCTTATTAGTAGTGTCGTCAAATAAAGAATTTCTCCAGTAGTTTCTTACGTTTTCGAAATTGAACTCAATTACGTGGAATCTATATATCTTATAAAGATAAACTCCACTAACAATTTATCTTACTATGCAAAGTGTCCATATCAACATTCACTGGAACATCCCACTAGCACATTCAACTATCTCGCCATGCAAAGTCCACGTCAGCATCCACTGATATATGCCATTATGTATTTATTCAAGTTATTTACATTAACAAACCATATCATTTACTAACATATATTTAGTTATTCACATCAATCATATTAGTAAATATAAGTAGTATAATTTCACCAGCAATTTCCGCAACAACACGCGAGACGTTCTTTCTATATAATTTTTGTGAAATTTCTATTTCTATAGTCTAAACAGACCCTGAATTCTTATTCCTCCATGTCGCGTAAGCTGCTTGCGGCCTCTGATCACGCGCAAGAAAGGGATTACTGGCGAATTCAGAAAGAGTGGCATTGTCCTCACGGCCCTTCCCAGCGAGACCTATAAAACCCGATCGGTCACCCGCCAGTTCTGAAGCGTCACCACCCGAAACCAAAGCGAAAATGAGCGGAACCACCGATGACACGGCCAAGGGAAACGCCGCCGCTGCCCTGTCGGCGCCACCGTACGATGCCATGCTCAATTCCACGGCGTACGAGCGGTTGCGCGCGGAGCACCCGGCGGAGTTCGCGCCCGCGAGCGTCTTCTTCGCACACGATGACCGGAGCGCCATCGACCGGCGCAACAGCTTCCGGGTGAAGGCCGCGCTCGTCTACGAGGCCGTCACGGGCCGGCACGTCGACGACCACATGCTGCGCGCCAACAGCCTACTCCTGGCCCTCGCCAGGAAATGCCATTCCAAAATCAATGGACAACCCGAAGGTAATCGTGCGTCGCCCAGATTCCAACCATACGTCGTCGTACGATCGAGTCTGTTACTACTTACTTTTCTCTTTCTCCGACGCTGTCGTTGATGCAGAAGCAGGAGATCCTGCGGAGGTGACAGACGAACGCTGGGACGCAAAGAAGAAGCGCGTGGTCGACGGCATCTTCCTCGTCGTCGGCTTCCTGCCAAAGCTCAACGAAGCGATCACAAGGAAGAACGCGGACCGCGACTCCGTCGACCAGATCTTCAAGTCGCGCCACATGCTCGACATGGTCACGGACGTGATCAAGCTCGAGAACCAGCTCCGGCTGCAGGACCTGCTCAACGTGGCCCGCCACATCGAGGCCGTCATCACGGAGACTGTAGAGCAATCCGATTTTAAGGACGTCAAGGAATCCATGGGACGCGAGTACAAGCTGGACGTCACGGAGCAGAACCTCGCCGACGTGATCCACCGCTTCTGCTGGTACTACTCGCCCTTCTCCACAAAGAAGACCGCGGCGGCGCCCCCGGACAGCCCGTTCAAGGACGTCGCGGCCAGCAAGGAGACGGCGGCGCGCACGCTCCTGGACTGCCTGCACATGAGCGTGGTGAAGCCGGCGCAGGGGAAGGGCGGGGCCGTCACCGGCAGGTCGTCTCGCATGCCGACGGCGAGGGATCTCCGGCGGTCCGGGGTCCGTCTCCAGGCCTCCGAGAACGGCCGCACTGAGATCGAGTTCGCGCAGCCGACGGTGTTGCTGCCGGCGCTGGTGTACGACTTCAAGCTGGCCACGGTGGCCCGGAACCTCCTGGCGCGGGAGTACGAGGAGCAGAGCAAGCCCATCACGCGCTACTTCCAGATGGTGAACGAGATCGTGGAAGACGTGGCCGACGTGCGGATTCTCCGGCGCGCCGGCGTGGTCCGCGGCGGGTCCGGCGGCGGGCAGGAGGTGCACGAGCTGATCAAGAGCATCGACGGCCACGCCACGTACCCGTCCGTGTACATGGCCATGGACCGGGAGATCGACAAGGTGAGAGAGTACCACGACCAGAGGATGGCCAACTTCTTCGTCCGCAACCGCCCGGCGTCATCTGGGCCTCGTCGGTGGCCGCCATCTCGATGGCGGCTATCGTCGCCACGAGGAGGAAACGGGGCTGACGCCAACGACGAAGCAGCTGCCACTTTGGCAGCTAAAATGGTGCGCCGTCACATATATATACGTATCTACACATGTACATGTATATATTGTAACTTGATGTGTTGTAAGGCGTACCATGGTCCGTACGTCGACTAGCGTAATACGACTGTGCAAGCGAACTGATGATTTGATTATATACATACATATAATAAAGCAATAAAGTCGAACTGATAACGAATTGAAGATAAATTCACTATTCAGTATTAGGCCGATCATGTTAATCTGATTCAGGGCCAGTTTGATATGGGTCCGGCTTGCTACAGTGCACCACCAAATAAAATTAGGCATTTGGAACCGTTCTTACGATGCATCACTTACAAATTTCAAATTTAGGCATGAGGAACATGATACACATCACGACAAAATTTGGCAATAGGATTATGATACTCGCGACAAACGCCCTGATCGATTGGGTTTGTTTGGCTGATAAGCCATGACTGAAAGTACTGTTGGCTGATTTGGTGCGAGAGAAAAATATTGTCCGTTGTCTTATAATCCAAACACGACCGAACGAACGGGCTAAAAATTTGCTAGTGCAGGAACCAACTCATTCCTAGCACCTCTAAATCTCTAATGTACGTTAGTTTATTATAAAGCATAAGGGCACACGACACGATTGCCATTATCTCGTAAGTGCTACTCAACCAATTCAAGGTCTGGTTAACCTGCATTAGTCTTAGGACATCATTATTTTATTTCCGTTTAACTAAGGAACAAACACTAGAAAGAATGGGTAGATATAAATGCTTTTCTTTTCTCTTCTCTCTCTTCCCCCCTCCCCTTTCTTCCTCTCTCTAGTTCAGTGAAAGGGGAGGATCATCAAAGGCAATAGATGGCTCAAGCTTGACAACAACATGTCATAGGCGGATAGGCCACCAAGGTGAAACCCTTGCCACTTCGTTTTTGATAAAAAAAATTTGGAATTGCTAATCAATAGGTGACTGATTTTTCCATTCTTCTCAGGCAACACACATCAGTCATTGGATTTGGATCGAACGTATCACTTGTCTTCTCCTTCCTTTGGTTGTCTTCCACACTCGGTTAGTTGGAACATGTACAATGTCCACTCCCCCGCTTGCTGCCCTCCTCCGGTCATCCCCTCACGATGCTACCATGGAATTCACTACCTCCGCTCCCGCCACGCTAACCTAGTGGAGCTCGAGCTCCCTCACCCAAACCTGGCCCAACCACCATCCTCCATCCCCTGTTGCCTGTAGCAGCATGCCGTCTCACCGCTTTACCACTCGCCCACCACCTCTTTCTCTTTGGCCTACCTTTAAACATGTTTTTGAAACTTTAGTTTTTTTTCAATTTTTCCCTCAAAGGTTTAGAAAATATTTGTTTGAAACTTCTTTTGAAAATTTACTAGCAAAAGTTTTACCAAAATATTGTCTTTAGATAACTTTCTTTAAACTTAAAAAGCTTTTTTTAAATTAATAATATTTTCAAAGAGTATTTTATTTTATTTTTCTATCAGAGTCATGGGCTACCTGTGCACGTGGATGAGTAATTTGCCCGCATCAAGGTCGATAAATAACTGAATTGCATAGCGGCAGTCACACATGGTCTTCGAAAAAAAATGTAGAAACCCATTCATTCAAGGGACGATGACGTCTTCGAAAAAAAGTAGAAACCCATTCGTTCAAGGGACGATGGCGCCATGTCGAATAGTTGTTGTTTGGATGCAATCTCGCAAATGATTGATGAATTGAGACCTTATTTGGAAGTGAAGGTGATTGGAGTGTCAACACACTTTGTTGTATGTATTGATCTTTAGTGTATATGTAGTATAAGTACAGAAGTGCTGAGTGACAGACTGATTAACATTCCTAGTCTACAGAAGCTACCGAGAGTGATGGATCGTGTATACCCTTATGCAAGAGGCTGTTAACGAGCTAACAGGAAGAACTCTGGTCGGCTCCAGCTCATCGGTACACTATAAATCTATGATACTAGGAACATTTTTTATCTCTCATCTTAAAATAAATTAAAAATCCATTAAACTACTATTTTTTATTCACCGACTCTAACCACGGCAACCCTCACCCCTTTCCCAAAAAATCACCAGTAGTATGCAAATCAAATAGCCAGATTTTTTTAAATCTTAGGCGCCTGTAGTTGAGGTGTGTAAAAAACGGCTGCTTGCGTCCTAATTTTTTACAATTTCGCTGTTTTTTTTAAGAAAATTTACGTTTGGTCTTCTGGGAGACGTAAACTCATCTTTCGACCCTGGAGGTCGGCGTCAGGACTCATGACGCCGAGATAACACATCTCGGCACCACAGATCTTAGCTCCGAGGTGCCTGGCCGAGCACAACAGATAAGCCTAGGTGGCGTTGACGTGGCCGGTACCTCAGCGCCAGAATACATGGCGCCGAGCATGGATTCAAAACCCACGGGCAAGTTTTCCTTGCTAAGGCTGCTCTCATTTCTTCCTCCTCCCTCTCGGTTTCTTCCTCTCCCCAACCCGTTCAATCTCTTCAATCGACGAATTTGACCTTGGATACTTAAAATTGATCCATACATCTTCGCGAGCAAGGTATCCTCTCTCATCTTATCATTTTTTACGCATTGATTTGGTATATATTACGTCTATTTTACAACCCTAGACACGTTATTACCTAATGTTTGAAGTGATTTTTTATTTTTTGTATTATGTAACAGTAGGATGCCAAGGTGTGGTAAAGCTAGTAAGTCAAGGTAATATCTTATCATCGTGTTATATTATGTTTTCATTTATGTGCAACAAAGAGAAAAACCCTAGGTTTATGGTTTAATGTTCATTGCTTTCGGTTCTTAGAACAAATTTGGTTCAATTGTAGTTATGGCCGGATGACCAGAAATGTCTTCGACCCGTTGCATCTGCCTAGTGGTGTTCCAGTGCCCATGTGCTTTTGCGGCGATCCTTTCAAGGTAGCCAAGTCCGATGAAGAGGACACGTATATGCAGAGGTATTAGATATGTGCTAATTTTGCGTTTGAGCCTACATTTCGTCAACGCCTATATCAAATTCAGTTTGCATTTTGAACTAGTAATTTCAATATTAAAATTTCAGTAAGATTCTAATTTCAGATTTTAAGCGCATTAATATTTGTTTTTTTAGGGCAACGCGCTGAGGCAATCTGTGATTGAGATCGAACGGTTTCCAAGGACAGGCGTGGACGACCACACACTAAACAGCTTTCTTGGAGTAAGTCGACACTAGCCCTCTTGTTGTTTTATGCTTAAGTTATTTCAGCTAGTGGTTTTCTACTTAATATCTCACTGCTCAAGCATGACATCTAGCATAACAGAGGTAGTATGATGATGATATGGCATTCATTTGAATAATAACTTATCTGTATACACTCAACAGCTTACTAATTGCATCTTTGTATGACAGAGGCTAGCACGTAGGCTGCGGCGTGCTGCAGCTCGTTGTGGTTGTGGTACTAGCGTTGCGATGGACATACATGGGCCACACGCACGACAATAGGACACACCTATAGCCCTCGATACTTCTTCTCACGGAGGTACTAGTGCTCGACTATGGACACTTTCTAAGGCCACAGAGATAAGGATGACGACGAGGAGACCGAGGAGCGTGGTTATGATGAGCTTGCCGAGTCTTAGCTCTAGGATGCTCATTTGACTGAGCCTACGCAGGTTGCAGAAACGAGTAGATGTCGTTCGCCTTGTAAGTACACTCCAGGCACGCTCAAGCTTCCTCTCCCTCTTCTCCTTGTGCGAAGCAACATGCCTCCTTTCCTCCTCTTCCTTGTGCTCCTTTTCTAGAGCCTCCTCTCTGTGTCTCTTCTCCATCATCTCCTTGTCATCTGCCTCCCACCGTAACAGTTTCTGCATCCACTCCTTATCTTCTGACTTGATCTTAGTGTCGATCCACGGTGGAGGGGTCTGCAACAAATACAATTGTTACAAAACAAATAAATCATGCAAGACTTCATTTGACACAAAATAAATATTAAACAACATCAATTTCTCACCATCTTCTTAATACGGCGCTGACGAAGTATAGGCTCAAACGCAAAATTGGCACACATCTAATACCTCTGCCTATACGTGTCATTTTCATCGGACTTGGCTACCTTGCAAGAATCGCTGTAAAAGCACATGGGCACTGGAACACCACTAGGCAGAGGCAACGGGTCGAAGGCATTTCCGGTCATCCGGCCATAACTACAATTGAACCAAATTTGTTCTAAGAACAAAAAACAATGAACATTAAACCCTAAACCTAGGGTTTTCCTATTTGTTGCACATAAATGAAAACATAATATAACACGATGATAAGAGATTACCTTGGCTTACTACATTTACCACGCCTTGGCATCCTACCGTTACATAATACAAAAAATAAAAAAGCACTTCAAATATTAGGTAATAATGCATCTACGGTTGCAAAATAGACATAATATATACCAAATCAATGCGTAAAAAATGATAAGGGGAGAGAGGATACCTTGCTCGCGAAGATGTATGGATCAATTCCAAGTATCCAAGGTCAAATTCGTCGATTGAAGAGATTGGGCGGGTTGGGGAGAGGAAGAAACCGAGAGGGAGGAGGAAGAAATGAGAGCAGCCTCGGCAAGGGAAACTTGCTCGTGGGATTTGAATCCATGCTCGGCGCCAGAATACATGACGCCGAGGTCGGCGCCAAGATCTGTGGTGCTGAGCTCGGCGCCAAGATCTGTGGCGCCGACCTCGGCGCCATGTATTCTGATGAGGACATGACCTCCATACATATGACCATGATTGGAGAACCATATGGAGACCAAGAAGATCAGCGAAGGTGTCCTAAGCGAGAAGGAGGCCCGAAGCTCATCCGGTTTGAGTCACCAAGGTGAAGGGCAAAATCAAGTTCGAGTCCATCTCGGCCTCCAGGACCGGTCTGTCTTAAACTGGTCACCCAGGACGCATCTGGACTCCGTTTTCGATGATCCACATATGGATGGAAAGATAATTGGATAAGGAATCCAATCCAAGTGGTTTCATGTCAAAAGCTCTTCGGAATCAACGGGAATCGTCAAAACAAGTCAGCGTCCATCATCTGTCAGGGTGCTGCGACACCGTATTTTGGTCTGTTGGACCATGTATCGT